GGTGGGAGGGGCCTTGCGACCCCTGGGCCAAGCCTGAGAACAGAGAGTCTCACCCTCCTTTCCCCACTGTTCACGGTCTCCGGTCTCCGCCCAGGAGCAATGTGCCCAATGTCAAGGACAAACAGTTCCTGAAATCCTGTCGCTTTAGCCCCAAGAACAACTGCCCCGTCTTCCGCCTGGGGTCGGTGGTCCGCTGGGCAGGGAGCAGCTTCCAGGACATAGCCGTAGAGGTGGGTGGCCCACGAAGCCCTCCCTGGGGGCCTGGGTGCACAGTGGGTGTGTGTGGAGGGGGACCTTTGGGTGGGCTGCGAAGTCTCTCGCCTCCAGGGACTCACTGTTTCAGCATTAGCTGTGACAGAGGGACAGAGTCAGCACTCAGAGCGCGGGGTGGGGTGTGGGGGGCCTTCAGTGGGGACAGCCCGGCGCTGCTGCACAGCTCATGGTTCTGGGGCATCTGCCGGGATGGAGCTGGAAGGAGCCACCAGCACGTCCTGCTGGGGTGTGAAGCGCCTGCCATAGAAAGTGCTCACTCTGGGCAGTTCCTTCTCTCCTGAAGAGTGAGCGGAGGGGAAACTCTGTTCTTTGCATAGCTGACCACGTGTCCAGGTCTGGAGACCTCCCCAGGTACACCAGACACCCGCACGACCCCCCACCCCTGATCTGGGGCTGGCTGAGGCCGGGGGTAGATCAGTGTTGAGACCCTGTTAAGGGTCTTTCTCCTTTCTGTCTTTATCGCTGTGGTTCATGGAAGAGATAACTTAAACTTAAAAAAAAAAAAAAAAAAAGAGAGAGAGAGAGAGAGCGCCTGGGCAGCGCAGCGCAGTGTTCTCAGCCCCCGCTAGAGCGGCGCTAGCACCTCCAGGACGCGCGGGCCAGCAGCGCCTCTCGCTGGCGCGCAGGCGCCTTAGCACGTCCTCTGTCCGCGCAGCTCTGTGGCTTTTCGACCCATCTCCAGAAAGCTCTGTGCACCGACCTGTCTCTCTCTCATGAAGGGCGGTGTGATAGGAATTCAAATCGAATGGAACTGTGATCTTGATAAAGCCGCCTCCGTGTGCACGCCGCAGTATTCTTTTAGCCGTCTGGACAATAGAATGGTAAAGTCGGTCTCCTCCGGGTACAATTTCAGGTAATTGCCACCTTGCATTTCTGACCACATCTCGTGTCCTTCCCTGGGTACCAGCATCATCGTACCCCTTCCTGGGGTGAGTGGCAGAGCAGGAGTGCAGGGAGAGCTGTGGATGCCAGCAGAGGGACTAGGGACAGCCACGTGCAGGTCTCAGGGAAGAGAGCCTGCTCTGCCTCGCTCTCGCCGTAGGGCCGGGCTTGGCTTCTCCACTGGGAGGATTCCGTCAGTGATTCAGTGGCCCAGAGCACAGTGGGAAAGCCCTTGCCCCATGGGGAGTGCCTGGCAGAGCTTTGGCTCAGTGAGCAGGTCTACAGCCTCTCCTGGGGCTGCCGACAGTCAGGGTCTTGGGAACGCTTGTAAGTCCTAGGAGCAGCCTGGTCTGTGCTGCCAAAGGCAGGAAGCGCCCAGGCAGGCTGAGGCGTCCTCTGATCCTCTCTCCAGGTTTGCCAAATATTACCGAGATGCAGCTGGGGTGGAGTTCCGCACCCTGATCAAGGCCTATGGGATTCGATTCGATGTGATAGTGAACGGCAAGGTGTGTGGGTGGTTCTCCCATCCTGAGCTGGGAGGGGTGGGGCCAGGGGTGTTGGGAGAAGGGACTCCCTCTGTCCACCGGGTCTCTCTCACCCCGCCTCGTCTGTGTCTTGCAGGCAGGGAAGTTCAGCATCATTCCCACCATCATCAATGTGGGCTCCGGGCTGGCGCTCATGGGTGTTGTGAGTACTTCTCTCCCTCCCCGCTTCCTGCTTCCTGATCTGGTGGCAGCGCCAGCAGGGATAGGGTAGTCACTGCCCAGGAGGACTGTGGCCCAATACCCCAGAAGGAAGTGGGCAAAAGGCCTTCCTACAAGTTCACACCTACCTGCTGCCCTCAGAGAGGCACCTGCCCAGCTCTGCTCTGTGTTGGTCTCAGCCATGTGTGGGCTGGCCTTTGTCTGAGCTCCTAGGTCAGCCTCTGGACTTCTAAAGTCTCTTCTCCATTTCTGCTAAGAGAGAGCGGGGTTAGGCCATCTATAGGATTTCTCATCCTTGGCACGATTGGCATCCGGGGCCCAATGTGTTGTGGGGCTGTCCTGTGTGGGATGTTTAAAGGGCAGCCAGGCCTCTGCCCACTGGATACTAGTGCCTCCCCCCAGTCACAGTGACCAAAAATGCCTCCTGGGGAGCAAAGGCCACCCCAGCCGAGGACTCCTGGACTGAAAGGATGAGAGGTTGGGGAGACAGCCTGGTAATCCTTCCTTGCATGTGGCTCTGCAGCTGGGCGGAGCGGGCTCCCAGGAGAGGAAGCGCTGGCTGGAGGGCAGGAAGAGCCTTCCTTTACATCTCTGTAATGCCCCTCTGTCTTTCTGGAAATTTTAAAAATACATGGCAGTCTTCAGTGCGTACCTTGTGCCCAAGTCCTTCTCCACGCTTCACTCATAACTGCCTGGACAGCCAAAACAGCCCCACTGGGGATTCCACCAGGACCCAAGATTGACTTTTTTTTTTTTTTTTTTTTTTTTTTTCCAGAGAGCACTTATGTTCGTGGAGGGAGGGAGAGAAATAAATCACACCTTATGGGATGATTATTCCACAATCCTTTCTCTTCCATGTATCCTCCTTTTGGGATTTTGGGCAAACATGCACACATACTCAGTGTTTAGCAGCTGGGTCTGGGACTCGAACCTGTAGTTGGGCATGTGGGCTCCAGCTGCCTTAACCATCAGGTCACTAACTGGCCCTAAGGTTGACCTTTTGAGAGAGGTGCTTGCCTTTAAGGCTGGCTGAGTAGCCTAGTGGTTAAGAGAGCTGGATTCTACATGACTACAGTTCAGATTCCAGCAACTTGAAAAATAATGCTGGGTACGTGCGTGTGCGCGTTCCCCCAAATTCCAACAGGATGGAGAAATGGAGAAGAGACTGTGGTGTGGCCATGCCCCACTGGAGGTTCTTTCTCCTTTTCCTTCTCTCTGTGTCTCTCTCTGGGAAGAACCTGTGATCTTTAGCAATTAAAAAAAAGAGAGCAGTTTGCCCTCGGCCATTACTTTCTTATGAAATGAATGAAAAGGAAACAGAGCTGCTGGAGGTCCTTCCAGTGAAATGGCAGTAATGGTGCAGGAAAAGATGCTGGTAGGGGGTAATCTCTACGGAGCAAGGTATTGATAAATAACATTTCCGGCATCTGGGGGGAAATTGTGCAGGGCCGAGGATCAGAAGACTAGGTCCACTGTTGGCTTTTCCTTCAGCCCCGCCTCCACCCTCTTCCTCTTTTAGGAGCCTCGCCCCTGGTCCCATGCTATGGGTGGAGGCGCCCTCTGGTGGAGAAGATAGGCATGTACACCACCTGCTCTGGTCTGAAACCCGAGTCCAGTGTGAGCAGATAGCTCCGCCCTGGTCATCTCCTTGACCACTGCTGCAGTGTCCTTGATTAGGTTCAGACCCCCTACCCGTCCATCTCACCCTAACTGCCAGAGGGATCTTTCTAAAATGCCCATGATCCTGGCAGTAGTGCCTGCCCTGACCTAAATGTTTAGGACCAGGGCCTCGAATTCTAAGCTTGCCAGCCTGGTCCCCATCCACCTCTTCAGAAGTGTCTCTCACTCTTCCCCACCAGCCCTGTAGCATTGCCCAGGCATGGCAAGCTTGTTCCTCCTCTGTATTGTCCTTACCTTTTTTGCCTTGCGGAAACTCCTATTCCACCCTCAAGACTCAGGCTAGAAATCCTTCTCCAGGCTGTATTCTCTCTGCTCTGCTCCTCTGCCCTATACAGACTTGTCACTCTGTGTCATAATTTGCATGTGTATTTCCTGCACTGGAGGAGTCCCCAGAGGGGCTCAGAGTCCATATCCTTCCTACAGCTGTGCCCACCCTGACATGCAGTGGGTGCTCCACAGACATGTGTGGGAGGGGTGGTTGGATGGGGGTCAGGGTAGGGATCAGGTGGGACTGCAGGCTAACTTCGGCTCCACCATGGGCCAACTTTTGTGACCTGGCACAAGGGTCCATCACCTTTTTTTAAAGAATTATTTATTTACTCTAATTTATCATTATTATTATTTTGTAATTTGCTACAGGGTATGCACACTCACCAGAGAGATGTAAGGAAAGTGAGAAAGCAAGTCACCAGGTCTGGGACTTGAGCCGGTCAGCCATGTGGGAGTCTAGTCTCAACCACACCACCTGCTCCCCAACTTCCCTTTTTTAAATGGCTGGAGGGCATGTGCCCTCACCAGAGACAGAGAGGGAGAGAGAAGGTGAAAGCACCCCTAAAGGGGGCGTCGTCATGCCACAATTTCTTCTCCTCCATCTCTCTATCCTAGGGTGACTGGGGCATGCAGACACACCTCTGAAAAACAGCCACTGGGACTGGGACTCAAACCATGCAGTCGGCCATGTAGGATCTGGCTCTAACCACTAGATCATGGGGCCCGCTAAGCATGCTTTTTTCTGAGCCCAGTTACCTTATCTATTAAATAGGGACAATGATGTCTCCCTCACAGTTTATGGCAGGGTCAAATGCAATGAAGGGCATCGGGTGGCTGGGCACTCTCCAGAAGTCTAGGATTCTGAGTCAGGGACCCCAACTCTTTGCAGGGGAGTTTCTTCTGTGACCTGATGCTCATCTATTTCATCAAAAAGCGCGAGTTTTATCGTAACAAGAAGTTCGAGGAAGTGAGGTCAGTGCTGCTTCCCCCCCTGCAGCCCCTGCCTGGCTTAGAACCTTGACTGTGGTGTGATCTTGGCGTCTGGGGTGTGGTGGCAGGGGCTGGAGAGCTAGGTCAGGTACGTGCTCTGCAGAACTGATTTGACTTGACATAGCCTGCAGAAGAGGCCACCACAGGCCACATGCAGGGGGCCTGGCTTACAGGCCCTGCCACTGTCTCACTGTGTGATTTTGGACAGGTCCCAGGCTTCCTTGGGCCTCAGTTCCTCTATCTAGGAGCTGAGACAGTTTACTTATAGTGCCTCCCAGCCCTTACGTTCCAGGATTCAACTTGGTGGTCCTGGAGGGCTGGAATTGAGAGAAGCTGGGGTGATAGGGAAGGAGAAAACAGATCCCCCTCCCCCCAATGATAGGATCCTCTTTGCAGGGTCTCTCAGGCTGTGGGCAAGGTGGTGTGTGTGTTCGGAGAAGTAGAACAGTATGGATGGGGAATCCTGGTGTCTGTAGTGGACATGATGGGGGAGAACTTTCTGGGGGAGCTAGGATGAGACTAGGACTTGGGATAGGCACCTAGGTGCTCCCTTGGCTCCACCACAACCCGACTGAGCCCAGCTGCAGCCTGAACCCTCAGCCCTGGGTTCTAGGCTGTGCCCTGGGCCCCAACTACAAAATCCAGCCCAGATCGAGCTGCTCAGGAGCCAGGGTGATAGCACAGAGGGCCAGCGGATTTTAGTCTCCAGGTGAGGTGCCCTGCAGGACCATCCAGGTCAACAGATTGTGTTCTGCTCAGGGTCAAAGAGAGCAGGGACCTGGAGGCCAAAGACAAGGACGAGGAGGAGGAGGAGGACAAGGACTTCTTGCTTTCTGTCTCTCTGTCTCTCTCTGTCTGGCGAGTGCACATGCCCTATAGCAAAAACCTCTCCAAAATTAAAAAAAAAAATTATCTATGAGGACCAGCATATGGTGTAATGATTACATTGCTGGACTCACACATAGTTGACCAAGATTTGCTAGTCCTAGACCCTGCAGCTTAAAACTCATGATGGGTGCATGTGAATGCATGCTCATAATCCCGAGAGGAGAATGGAGAAGGGATTGTAATGTGGCCATCCTCCCGGGGTGGGGGGTGGGGGAGGGTGATTTCTAGCTTTCTGTCTCTCTGTCTCTCTGGGGAGTGCATGCACACTATAGAAAAATCTCTGTTAAAAAAATAAAAGTTATCTGTGAAGAGCTGGTTTTCAGGCATTCATACTTATAAAATTTAATCATGATTTAGTTTGCAAAAATCAAACTTTGTGCTGTTCTTATTAATACTGAGCCAAGTTTCATAGTTTGCCATTATAATTTTCTCAGGAGGAAAAGAGTTGTCTTTTAGTTAGTTTAGTTTAGTTCTGGTTAGTATTTGTTTAGTTCCTATGAAGGACTTAAGTATCTTTTTAATCTTTCTCAACATTCCAGCAAAATAAATAGACATCATAACCATAGGAAGAGAGTAGAGAGTTGGGGCCAAAAATCCCTTGCTTATATGTAGTAGTTGGCCTGGGGGATGGGATAATATCTTCATATCCCACAGAAAAGATTGGGAATGTCAAATCTGAGCAAAGCCTGTAAATTCATAGCACTTTTTTTTTTTTTTAAGAAGTTTTTGCTATAGGGCACGTGCGCTCACTAGACAGACAGAGATGGAGAGACAGAAAGTGAGAAATCACCCCCCAGGGGGGATGGTCACGCCACAGTCCCTTCTCCTCCATTCTCTTCTCGGGATCTTGGGCACGCATGCACACACGCCCGGCGTGAGTTTTAAGCCACCGGGTCCAGGACACAAACTGCAGTCGACTACATGGGAGTCCAGCGACATAGCCATTACGCAAACTGCTGGTCCCTGGGATGGCCTTTTCTCCAGCCCAACTTCTCTTCCTTGCTGACTCATGGGTTGGCAGCCTCAGCTGGAGATGGGCCCACCAGGGAGGGAGAGAAAGAAAGCCTGGGGGGATGCAGCAGCTGGGTGAAGGAGCAGTGGAGGCTGGGAATCCAGCAGGGCGAAGTACAGAGCTCTCTGCAATGACTGGCAGTTCCCAAGTGCTCAGCTGAACTCCATACCCTGTAAGGGAAGAATGGCCACCTGGCTTGTCTTAGCCCAACACCTTATGGCTGTGGGAGGCTCCTGCTGCCACCCCAGCAGTTGCAGTTTACTGCTGGGTGCTCTGGAGGCCACCGCCTGAACATCTACACGGCTTGCTGCAGCCAGGGACCCCTCTGAATGCTCTGCTGCCTGCAGGGCTGCCAGCCAGGCTGCCCTGTGGCCCCACCCTCAGGGATCCTGATGACCTCTGCCCTCTGTGTGACCCCTCCTGCCCACACACAGGTCTGGCCACCTGGGGAAGGAAACCACCAGTGAACAGCAGCTGCAGATCCCATAGACAGTGGAGTTGTGGCCAGAGGTGTTGGCTGAGAGCAGATTCCGTGAAGACTTTGGGGCCAGAACCACCCACAGCTCTGAACTGGCATCCTGGGACCTGATGGGACTTCCAGGCACAGCCATCTCTCCTGCACGTGGGGATCTTGCTGCAGCTCTGTGTTGTGTATGAAGGGGAGCCTCCCAGTGCCAAAGTGGATCTGATCTAGAAGAGATGGCCGCAAAGTAGGCGCCCAGTGAGGAGGTCAGGTTGGGGGCCTGAGCAGTACTAGAGAGTTTCGATTTTTTCCGAGAACTTGGTTGGACATTCATTTGCTCATCCATACAGTAACCATTTATGCATGCTGTGTGCTGGGCCCTAACCAAGAGACACTTATATGAGACGCTGACCTGGCCCTCAGGGAATAGGGGCACATGTGTAGCCCCTCCAGAGACATCATAGCCAGGTCCAGCCACTCTGGCCTTAGCTGAGACTTTCACGAATCTCTGTAAAGAATGATGGTTGCTCAGAAGAAGCCCTTGGATGCTGTCTAAGGGGATGTGGGGCCTTGTCCCCAGAGATAAGGTTTGAAGGTAGCCAAGGAAGCAACCAGGAAATGACTGGACCAGTCAGGAGGCAGCTGGTTCCTAAGGGGAGAGGCCAACTCTGAGCCTGTTAGGTAAGACAGGGAGGGGAGGCAGAGAGGCCTCTGCTCCTTTCTGACTCCTAGCCTCCAGAAGCTCTACTGGCCCAGATGGAAGACATGTCTGCCTGTGTGGTTTGTGGGGCCAGGAGTCCATGCCTGGCTTCCCTTCGTGGCTTAGAGGCCTGGCCTGAAGTGCTAAGATGAAGGGTAGTTAAGGAGGCCCTCACTCCCCTCTCCCCTGCCCCACCTTTCTTACCCACCTTGCACAACTCTCTTGCCTGGAACCTGGCTACTCAAGGTGGGTCCCATAGACTAGCCTCATCAGGGTCATCTGGGATCCTGGTTGAAGTGTTGTCTCAGGCCCTTTCCTCATCCTACAAAATCAGAATCTGCTCTTCCATGAGGTTCCCAGGCCATGTGCGTGACATTAACGTGTGAGAAGCCCTGATCCTGAGGGGAAGGAAAGGCCAGCTCTGGTGGACAGTGCCAGTTCTAGGTCAGACTTAACAAACGAGCTATCTTGAGACTGAGAGGATCCTTCCTCCCCCACACCTCCAGCCTGAAAGCAGCATCATGCTCAATTTATTTAAATTAAAATATTTTGACTAGGTAATACTTACATGATTTGAAACGTAAAAGGTAGAAAAGAATAATGAGAAGTATTTCTCCCACCCCAGTACTCCCGAGGCAACTGGTGTTACCAATTCCTAGAGGCTTCCTATGTCGCTGAGAACCCACTTGGTCACGTGAGTTCTCACTCAGGAATGAACTGTTTCTGGTATTACCTCGTAAGACCGAGTCTCCTCTGACAAGAAATACACTGACATGTTGGACTGGGAAGCCAGCTAGCTCACTTCTCCCTATCCTTGCAATGCGAGGATCTCCGTGTACACCAAGGTGAGAAAACTCCAGCTCACTGCTCACTGTGGTCTGAGTGGACCTGCAGGAGACCCCAAGTGCTTCCTGGGCTCCTTGGGCACCAGGGGGTGTGTTCTTTGGAAGCTCATGGGGAGGGGCAGTGAGCATCCTCCATGGGCCTTTGAAGAGGGTCCTTGTAAGGGGCCTGGCAGTTCTCCAGTGAGGCTGCCATTGGCACAGAAGGGCATGGTGCCCAGAACAGAAGGAAGTAGTCCCCTCGCTTTGAGTTGTTTGGCAACAGGTCTGCAAGCCCAACCTGCTCTTGAATAGAAAGTGAAATACCTAGGTGATTAGACGTTTCATGTTCTCGCTAAAGCAAACCGTTGGGTTTTATAATCTAGTATATTACTCTTATGGTTGGGAGGGAGTAAGAAGAGCAAGGGTCAAGACTGCTTAGGGTTTAGTCCAGTTTCTTTTAACCTGATTTGAGAATGACGTGGCAGCAGCCATATAACTTGGGGACAGTTGTACAGTCTGTCTTGTATTGGAACAAAATGTCTTCCTGCGGTTATTCAGTCAGTAAATATTTATAGAGTGCTGTGATGTGCCAGGTGTTGGACTACATTGCCCATAATACCATGGTGAGCAGCATGGACAGTCCCTGCCCTCCAGTGCCTCCAGTCTTGTGGGGAACTGAGTCTTAAGTGATCTTGGCTATCATCACAGATTGAATAGAGTGTGAGTTTCTAACTAGAATTAAGCCTGTGGAGATTCCCCAAGGAAGGGACACATGGGCTGAAATCTGAAAGGTTAGGGTGCCTAACTAGGTGAGGGGGAAAGTATTCCAGGTAAGGGAACCACATGTATAAAGACATGCTTTGACATAGGAAGGAGCAGCTGAGAAACTGGATGAAGGCACTATGACTAGAATGGATTCTGTTTTTTTTTTTTAATTTTTTTCACCAGGTTGCTTTTCTTTAGTTGCAAGCGTTGCCCATTAGACTTTACTACCTGGGAGGACTTAACCTAATTGTTTCAGGGACAGCAAACTTTCCAGGGGACCTCCCTACTGCATACCAAGGACCTGTGCTCAGAAAAGCCAATGATCCCATTACAGCTTCTGGACAGTTACACTTTGCCAGTTTTTCTGTTCTCCATCTTTTATTCTGCATAATGTGGTATGAGTGGAGGGCTCATTAGTCTTACAAAAACTGGCTTTTATCTATTTGTACATGTATATTTTAAGTTTATTCATCCTTTTTGAGAGAAAGCACCCTCAGGCCAGCTGAGGTAGTGTGCCTGGATTCCCATGGGAAAGTCCTCGGTTTCCATCTGGAGACCCCCCTTCCTACGCACACCAGGCATCTGTGGGCATGCCTGTGATCCAGGCTGGCTGAGGCTAGGGGTGGATTGCAGCATGAAGACCCAGCTGGAAGTGCCTGGCTCCCTCTCTCTCTCACAGAAAAAACAAACAAGACACAGCACCCCTGACAGGATCCTAAAGCCAGAACTCACTGGAAATCCACCCCACCCTCACTCAGCCTGAGGTGATGGGCTCATATGCGCCCGACATGCTTGGGGAGTCTCTGGATAGGGATCTGCACCCTTCCACGTGGTCTGCTTCATGGAACATTTTATTACTGCACCACTGTTGCACCACTTTTAAGTGGGGAGAGATGGAGGAACTTGAGCTCCTTTCAGATATGGGAAAGTCCCTTTCTTTTTGGTCACTGGTTGCCTCACTGGGAAGATTAAGTGTGCCAGCCTCTCAAGAGCTCCTTTCCATTCAACTATTCCAGGATCATATGAATTGTATATGCTTATGTTCAGACCCTAGCCCATCCACTTAGTCTTTTCCAAGCGATCGCGTTTTCTCATGCCTTTGGGAGACCATTGACGCTGGCCACTGGAAAATTTGTATCTTGGGTGCTATCAATGTGATATGGGGACCAGCCATCAAAGAGCCAAATATTCTCCATTCCTGAGGCTGGGGTCATCAGGACTGACCAATCACAGCTGCCTTTTTTACCCCCACCCCTCATGAGCTCTTCCTTTCTTAGCTAACTGCCACAACGGGAAACCAGTTGTAAAGGGGGAGTATGACTTCCTCTAGGTGTCTGAGCCCCTCAGATGGTTCCACTGTTGGTTCTCTAAATCACTCCACTTGGAATGGCATCTTGTATGTCTGGAACTGGGTTCCACTGGGCTCCAACCACCACCCCTTCCCATCACCCCCAGTTTAAGTAATGCAAAGTGACTTTCCTCACCACACTCTCTGGAGGATCCAGGACTGTTTTCCAAAAGACAACAACTGTCTACTAGCTGTTTCTCCATAGGCCAGTACACAGAATTAAAGGGGGTAGGACTGCAGACATTTTCTGGGACTGCCCAAATATATATTCCATGATACTTTTATTTGGCTATAAAACAATAAAAGGTATCAATTTTAAATGTGTCCTAATTTTCTTCCATTTGTCTTTGGGTTTTCCTGTGTTTGAGAGGAAAATGTAAGGAGAAGGCAAGACCAAGAGACAGACACAAGAAACAATTAGTAAGCAATATATTCCATTTCTCATTATCTTGCAAAAAATTCAAGTGAAAAGTATGGAAACTCTTTAAATGAGCAAACATTAGCATTAAAAAGTTGGAAAAATATATATACATATATATATATATGTGAAACAAGAAATGGAAAATTGTTGGTAACATGTATGATTAAGCCACTATGCAGTATATTCTGGGTGGGAAGTCACATTTTGTATGTTGTAATGATGCTCAGTGAATGAATGTAAAATAAATTAATAAAAAAATTAAAAAGTTGGAAGGCACTGATAAAACTGGTAGTTTTCATTTAACAAATATACTCTGATAAAACTATGGAAGATATTTGAAATCAAGTTTTTACCCTCTGTCTTACGAATTTATAAAATGATAAAATGTGAGGACATTCATCTTAATACTTTCTATGAAAGTGAACATTTCAAACTTATTGTGGGCTGGCCTCAGAGTACATAGAGCTGGATCTCACATGGCTGTGGTTTGAATACTGGCCCTGGTGTCTTGAAGAAAAAACACCCCTAGTGTGTATATATGTGTATCTTGATGGGAATGAGCAGTGGAAGAGATTGAGGTGTGGCCACTCCCCCTTGGGGGGTACTCTCTCTGGCAAGTGCATGTACCCTCAGGCAATATAAATATATATATATATATGGAAATGGTTAACTAAATCAGCTCACTTATTTCTCTCTCATCTCCTACCAGCAAGACCCCCTTTGCTTCCTCCTTCCTCTCTGTATTAGGAATGAGTCCTTCCTACCTACTCAGAGAAGTCCTCGAGAGTACTGAAGTATGCAAACCATAAATGTGAGGCTTTTTAGTGAGGAGAAAAAGGGCTCACTGAGAGGAAGGCAAAGCTGTATCCTCATCTTCTTCTTGGCTTCATATGCGAGCATGTGGTCCTGAATCCAAAATGCATTCAAGTCTGGGTCCTAGATCCACTTCCATTATTGGCCAGGGGGCAGCTATGGTTTATAAAAGAAAAAGGACTTGGGTTTAAGCTCTCAAATCCTCTCTTGAACCCTTTATGAGAAAAATCCAAATGGAAATCATATTGCTCCCAACTACAACTTCCAAAGGCTTTCCCCAATTGCTCTATGATCAAGGCTAGACTCCCCACCATGGCCCTCCATAGATCTGGTCTAGACCTACCTCATGGTCTCATCTTTTACTCTCCAGGTACAGGCCACACTTCTCCCTGCCCAATGGCCCTCACACATGCTCTTTCCTATATATCCTTTTCTCTACACTTCATTTGGCTGTTATTTAACCTTGGATTTCAGATGAAATGCTATTTCCTCAAAGAAGGCTTCCCTGAGTCCTTCCCCTTAACTTGGGCTAGGTTTGGGGTTTCTATTTACTCTCTTCATAGCATTTGCCATTAATTTAAATATTTATTAGAAAATTGTCATCCCTATTAGACTATAAATTCCATAAACAATGTGCTCACCATTATAACTCCAATGCAGCATTTCTCAATTAAACAAATGCATTTTACTCTAAAATAACCCTCCTGACAAGGAAAGATCACAGATTATGTTTACACCCTAAACAAGCCAAAAGTCTAGTTTAAATGTCCAATTTGTTTAATCTTCACTACCCGTATTTCCAATCCCCCCAAAAAATGAATATTTTTTTCTCTGCTATAAAGATAGCTGTTTCTAGGACAAATGAAACTGCAAAGACACCATACCTGGAAGTCAGCAAGAGAGAATGCTGTGCATGTGCAGTCAGTCAATGCAGTTAGGACAAATTAAGAGACCTGCACTTGAATCCTGGCTCTGCCTCTTCCTAGCTGTGCCTCCTCTGGCAGAAGTATTTAACCTGATCCTCAGGTTCCTCATCAACAGATTGATATAAAAACATCAAGGGCCAGCAAGCGGTGTAATGGTTAAGGTGCTGGATTCCCACATGGCCGACTATAGTTCAAGGACCTGGCAGCTTAAAAATTACACTAGGGGTGTGTGTGTGTGTGCATGCCCAAAATCCCAGAAGGAGGGACTGTGGCATGACCATGATTTCTCACTTGCCCTCTCAAGCATACATACCTTATGACAAAAACCTGGGGGGAAAAAACCACAAAAAACTAAAAACAATACCGTATGTTGTCTGTCAGAATGAAATGAGATAATGAGTGTAGAAAGTACAAGGCACAAGGCCTGGGAATGAATATTAACTCTTACTCATTCTTAGGATAACAAGTTCTCTCCTTATTTAGGCCCTAGAGCCTCTCTGGATGGCCTATGTATAAATGCAAGAGGTTTCAGAGAGTGAAAGCCCAGTCCCAGCTCCAGGAGTCCAATCTTGGCAATTTTGCACCCATCACAGTCTATGCATTAAGGTAGGAAAGAACTCCACAAGGTGTCTCACGCTTCATTTAATCTGAAGAATATTACAGGCTCTCCGTCTTCAGATATAAATTATTTATAACGTTACAGAACAAGCAGCGAATTCAACATTTTAAAAACTAAGTAAGTCTACACGGCGTTAATTTCTGGCAACAGTCCTCCCAATCTGGTTTTTTAAAAAAGTCACCCCTGCCCCCATTTCAGTAGACGTGCACCATGCCATAGAGAAATGTCCAGAACAGGACGTAGGTGAAGAGGCCTCCAATGAGGCCTCCCGTGAAGAGAGGTCTTCGTGATTTGAAGTATTTGTTCCACCTCCTTCCTGCCTTGAGGATTAGGAGCAGGGAGAGCAGGATGGAGGCAAGCAGGTAGAAGATGAAGCCGTAGAGGCCGGTGAGGCCGAGGATGCCGGCCGTGGCCCCCGACAGCGCTGACACTGAGGTCCGGCAGTAATCCAGGACCGCGGCGTTGCCCCGCACAGCAGCCTCGCTGATGAAAGGCGGCCCTTCCCGCTTGGCCACCACCGCGGCCATCGCACCCGGCGGGACTCAGCCTCTAGCCTTCTCGTGGAACAACGCGGAGCTGCGGAGAAAACTAAGTTACAAGTAGCGCCCGGAACTGGCGAGTTGAGTTCTCGCCGCCCCCTCCCCCCGGAGGCTTCCGAGACCTGGCACCACTCCTGGGTCTCGGACTTCCCAAAGACGCCGAGAAGGCGAAGGCTCGGGGCGGGGGCGGCAGCACACTTGCATCCCCCAGCCAGACTTGCCCCGTTACCTGGAGTACAGCGGCGGACCCGGTCACTTGGCGTTTTCTCAGACAGGCAGCGGTAGACATTCCCGCGACGCCATCTTGCGCTGGAGGCTGCCGGGAGGGCCTGGACTGCACATGCGCCCAGGCCCTGCCCCGCCTTCCCGCGCCTGCGCCCTGGGCGCCAAGGGCACGAACCCACTTCTGCCTGCTTTTCTAAGCACGCACCCGGAGTTCTAAAAGCCCAATAGCGCTCCGACCGGTGATTGGCTGGCGGTTTGTTGACTATTCATGAGGGGGCGGGCCGAGCAGGGCTGCCTTTGTTAACCAGAGAGGGCGCGGCCGCGGGGATTCTGGCAGCGGACTGCACCCAGCCTCAGTCGGTTACCAGATTGGGGTCGAGATGTCCTACATCCCGGGCCAGCCGGTCACCGCCGTGGTGGTGAGTGCACTCGCGCGGGCTCCTTCCCGTCTCGGCTTCCCATTTCGCAGAGCGGTAAACTGAGACCCAGACGGGTTGACAGAGCAGCGAACCGGGGACTCCTGTAAACTGGCGACCAGGGCTTCGGTCTTCGCTCTGCTGCCGCGGGGCCAGACCTTCCGCCAGCCACAAAACAGAGATGGCTGTGACCCAAGAGCTTCCCCTCCTCGGTGGAATCGCCGCAGCGGTAGATTCTTGCCAGCTACCACCGGGAGGACGCGGGAGAAGTGCTTCGGCTTGTGGGTGTCTGGAAAAGCGCCCCCTTCTCGGGCCTCCGTGTCCCCAGCTGGGCAGCCGCGGGGGGGAAGGGGGGGCGGGTGCCGGCCCCGACGTCCATGAATCGCGGCCTCTGGAATGAGGAAGTGCTTCCTCCGCTTCAGCCGGCGCCGCCACCCGATGGAGGGAGATCGAGGGGTGGGGCTGACCTGAGCCTGCCTTTGCTTAGCCCCTTCCCATTTCCCGTCCAGCCTTGTCCCTCGGACCCACCCTCCGCGTCCAAAGTGATTATCGTAAAACTGGCTTTACCCTTCTCTGAACTTTCTCTGGACCTCCAGGCCGTCGGGGAAAGTCCAGGCTCACGATCAGGCACTAGAGACCCGAGGAGACCCTGTAGGATCAGCCCAGGCCTCTGGCTTGTTTTGGGTACCTGGTGTTAATAGAGTAGGCAAAAAAGAGGCGGGGAGGCTGGGACATTAGACTGAGACGCCCTTGCACAGCTGGATGGGGTCTAGAGGCCATCCCGATAGCCAAGGTAGGAGGAACACTTGAGTCCCAGAAAGGTCTGGACGCCAGTCTCCCATCTAGCTCCCCAGAGGCTTCAGAGAGAAAGCAAAAATGCCTGGCAGACAGGCAGTGAGTAGCCCTGGAGCCATCAGACTGGCTGTACTCTCTCAAATGGGTGTACCAGAGGGCAGTCAGGCAGGCGCTGCAGGCAAGGAAACCACTCACTGATAAGGGTGGCACCTGGGGGTGAGCATACAGCACTCTCTCAGGCCCTGGCTAGGTCGGAGCATTGCTAGACCAGCTGACAGCTGTCCTAAGCTTCACCCTGCCTGCAACAGCCTGGCATTTCCAGATCCCTAGCTGCCCTAGAGAGAACGGGCCAGGTCTGCCCCTCAGCTGGAGTAAAGGGGGTGCAGAGCCACAGGAAGTTTGCTGTCTGACCTCACCCAGCAAGTCTAACAGGGCCATGTCTCCCAGCCCCAGGGCCTGAATTCTCTTCTGACCTGGAGGTAGATGCAAAGGTGTTAGATCGGAGGAGCCATGTTGCCTGTACCTCAGGTGGCATGCTTCCTGCTGCCACTCCCTCATGTCATGGCTGGCTCCACAGCCTTCCTAAAAGGGCCTTCCTCAAAGCTGTAGGACCATGACCCCCCAATACCAGAGCAGGCCTGAGCATGGTAAGTGGGGCTGGTCTCCCTCCCAACCCTCTTTTTTAACTATGAGAGCGGGACAGAGAGAGAGGTGATTTAGACAGGGTCTGGTCATGCTGTGACATCCCCCCACCCCCTGCCTCCCAGCTAGCTAGGGTTATAGGTGCAGGCTGTTGTGCCCTGCATGTTTAGGCTGGTCCAGGAACCAAACTCTTGTCCCCCTGCATGCAGTGACACCTGAGGCTGAGCCTGGCCTCTCTTCTTGTCTTGGATAGGGATAAAGTGTGTGTGTGGGGTGTTTCTCTCCAGTCCCTATCCTCTCCCATGTTGTGGTTATTTTAAGACTATTCAAACCATTTTGGCCTCTCCTCTGAACTCTGGCTCCATAAACCCATTTGCCTTCTGGACACCTGTCTGGTGGCTCTTGGAACTCTAACTCAACCTGCTCGTTTTCCTCTGGCTGCCCATCTGAATGGTTTCTGGGCATCCATCAATTTCCAGGTAGCTCATGTCCCTTGACCTCCACCTCTATGAGACATCCATCCCCCTATTGACCACCTGAGTGGTCATTCTGGTATCAAACCTGACCATGCCTTGCCAGAGTCCCCAATTCCAGCGGGTTCAAGATTAAGGTCAGATGGCTAAACTAACCATCCCTTAAGGTTTGGTGCAAACCTCCCCTCCTTTGTGAGCCTTCTCAGGTCCAGATCAAATCACCTTCTTTCTAAATTTTTCTTCTTATTATTAAAACTCTCTGCTTTTGGGGTGATCAGGTCTGACTGGATCTGGTGACGGGAGGCTACTTGCTGAGGGATTTATAATGAGCCTGGCACAGTTGGTGGACACAGCCCCCCAAAAGCGTGGTGGGAAAGCCCTGAATACTCCTGTCACCTACACAAGAGTGGGGTCTGGGGCATAGCAAGGTCCTCCTCCTCCTATCTGGAGGGCCTGCATCCCACAGCCTCATCTTCTGGCCTCATGTCACCTCCCAGTTCCACATCCTGCACGTACACTCGAGTCTCATAATGTGTCCACAGGTTCTTCCCACCTTTGCTCTAATTCCCATGGCCAGGAAGCCTTTCCTCCTTTCTGTGCAAGTCTGAATGTCTCTGCTTTTCCCAGGCACCTCCTGTCTTGTCCTTGTCAGGGCTGGCTCAGCAGTGTGAGTTGCCTCAGCAAGGTGGCTGACCCCTTTCCCTAGGGACAGGGGCCTTCCACCCACAGCAGCCAGCAGCGGGCCAAGAGGGGCTTAGAGTACATGGCTAAGGCTGGTGCTGAGATGAACAGGGTAGAGGGGAGAGGTTGAGGGCAGAGGGCTGTGTGCGTGGCCTAATGTGGCCTCTAGGCTGGTAGCCAGTAGGATTCCTGCAGAGGACCCTGGGCCCCACCCCATTGGCATGGTTCTGAGCTGGCCCAGTAGCCTGAGGCTCCTGCTGGGACACAGACCAGATTCATTCTCCACCCTCCTCCTACCTTCAACTTGCTTTTTTTCTTTGCCAGCAAAGAGTTGAAATTCACAAGCTGCGTCAAGGTGAGAACTTGATCCTGGGCTTCAGCATTGGAGGTGGAATTGATCAGGATCCCTCCCAGAATCCCTTCTCAGAAGATAAGACAGACAAGGTGAGGGAGTCTGGGGGCCTGGGAATCTGCATGGGGTACAGAGGCCTGAGGTGGGAGGGTGTCTGCTTCCTAGGGCTGCATGGAAGGAGCAAACATCCTGTCTTTCAGACAGTCCTAAGAAGGTGCAAGAAAGGATCTGGTGGGAATAAATAAGGGTAGGGCTGGGAGGGGTGGGGCACTAGGTGGAAAGTGAGCAGTCCTAGGAAGACGTCCTCTGCCCCCGTACCAGCCATGCGTGGTAGAGGGAGGCTGGCACTGGGGCAGGACAGCTGGCAGTATGCATGCCATACTGGGCCCTGTTCTGTGATGTGGGGCCAGCACTGTGACCATGGGGCTTGATCTGTGCTACCTCTTTCCAGGGCATTTATGTCACCCGGGTGTCTGAAGGAGGCCCTGCTGAAATCGCTGGGCTGCAGATTGGAGACAAGATCATGCAGGTAAAATGTATCCCAAGGAAGGTTTGGGACAGAGGGGCCGAAGTTGTTGGGGGTGGGGGCTGCCCCTGCCTCCCAGCCAGAAGGTACTCACCGAAGTCACTCTGGAACCCATGCTGGGATTGCTCCCAAAGAAAGCTGGCTGGCTGCTGCGTGCTGTGGCTATGGTGCTTGGCATCCCCAGTTTGGGAATATCAGCATGGGGACCTTCTTGGGTGACCCAGACCCCCTGAAGCCCTGCTTCCAGATTCAGAGGGCAGGTACTGAGGTGGGCTGTGTTCTCTCTTTGGGCCAGGTGAACGGCTGGGACATGACCATGGTCACACACGACCAGGCCCGGAAGCGACTCACCAAGCGATCGGAGGAGGTGGTGCGCCTGCTGGTGACGCGGCAGTCACTGCAGAAGGCCGTGCAGCAGTCCATGCTGTCCTAGCAACCTGCAGGGTCCCCAACTCGTGCCCGCCGCCTCTTTGTACAGTGACACACTTCCACACGCTGTCCGCCCCTCATCCTGGCTTCTGCTAAGTTCTGGGCCTGAGCTTGGAAGGGCAACAGCTGATCCCAGTCTTCCTTCCCCTCCCACCCAGGCCTAAGGTTCTGGGTCCAGCTCTCTCCCTTGGACACTAAGGATCAGAAGGGCCTGGAGCTAAGTGGTGGCCAGTCTGCAGGGACTACAGTGTAGTCCCCAGACCTGCTGCCCGGCCACAGCAGTGCCTGGGTGAGCAGGAGGCACCACTTCCTGAGAGCTGCCAAAGCTGGGACATGCCAGTGTGGGGGCTTTCCTGCTTTGCCCTGGCTGCAGGGTTTGGCCCTGCCCTCATGCCAACTCTGCAGTGTCTGTCCCCATGCCTTTCCAACTGCACTGCCCAGAGCGGGACTGGACCCACACACTGCCAGAGGCACCACTGTCTGGATGGAAGCTGGGCAGACTCCCTGTTCACCCCACTCCCCTGAGGGGTGCTGGCCTCCCCAGGGTTTGCCTGCTTACAGGATTTAGACAAGTTCGAGGCTGATGCTTCCGGGCAGCTCTCAGGATTGCCATTTCCTTCTATGCCTGTGGATTTAACTTTTGTATTTTTTTAATCACAACTTTGATACAAAGCATTTTTATCTTACTATTTGGAGATGCCAATTCTACTTTTGAATTTAGCTTACTAATTCACATCTGGGAACTGCTCTTAGTGAACGAATGACCCCTACTTTGGTTACAGTGGAAATGGGGCAATACCATGCTCCTCCACTCCCAATAAATGACGCTGGAATTTACAAGGGATCTTTGTTGAGGCATGGGGTAGAGAATTTGGGGGTGGATCAGATGGAGCGAGAGCTCTGGTTTTCAGGATGGCTGACCTGTCTTTGCTGATCTGGGACAAAGCTCAATCATGCCTAGGCCCGCCTGCCTGAAGTCTGCAGTTGACAGAGCTTGGACACCTCAGTGAACACACTGTGCTTGGCAAAGGCCATATCTGTGGGAGCATCTGGCAGCATCGTCACTGCATGGGGCAGGGAGTCTGGGGGTCCTGGGTGTCAGTGGGGAGTTCCTAGGTGCCCCTAGCTCCCCTCGTGTAACCTATTCTCAACCCTACCTGGAAGGGATCTCCTGCATACCTTAGGGGAAAACTAACTCCTAAGACACGTAGAAGCACTCAGCATATCACAGCCAAGGTCACAAACCCACGTTTCTGGGCGAGCTCGTGGCAGTGGCAGAGCTGAGAGTCTCTGGCCCTCTGCCTTCCAGCTCTGAGGTGTTCTCAGGCCTAGACCCACCTAGCATTGCCAGATCAGACCCTTACAGACAAGCTGAGAATCTGAACTCTCCCACTTCTGCAGTGTGGCCCCTACCATGCTTCTGCAGGTCACAGGGCTGTGGTTTTGGTCTGACTGCAGTCTCTGCCGAAGGGAACAAGACCTTCAATTCCTTTTTGTGTTACAACTGGATAGAGGCAGAATCTGGAGAGTAAGACTGCCCCCCTACTACCCAGCTCTCAGTCATAGCACCCCCTTCAAATCACATCTGTAGCCTGAGGAGCACACCTTGGTAATGGCAAAAACACAGTACCTGTCAGACCTACCTGGCCCTGGCTGGCAGGCGTCTTCTACTACCCAAGAGGGTTCTCTGTGATGTGTGGGGTCAGCACGCAGCCACCTTGCATCAGGAACTTCACAACCCTACCGTTTCCTTACACGACGAGGTGAGCCAGGTCGGCTCCCTAAGCCCCAAGTTCTGACAGCCAGTACCCTGCCTTCTGCATCTAGTAAACACTCAAGAATGTGCAGAAAGGAAAACGAGTCAGGTTTTAATTAAGGTCACAGGCCCCTCCTGTGGATCTTGTCAAGAGTCAGAGTGGATTGACACATGTGAGGCATGGACAAGGCACACCCTCAGACCCCCACCCGCCTCCTGAGGGGCAACAGAGGGGCTGGGAGGGAGGTTTGAGATCAGGGCTGGACCTGTGAGAACTGCATGAGGTGGTCTCAGGTTCTCACCTGAGGCTCCTGAACAGCCAAAAAGTTGGTGAGTCTTGGGTAGGGGGTCTGGGAAAAGTGAGGGAAGGGGTGGGGGGGTCTGTCCTCCCCTCCAGGGGAGCTACTCTCACCAAGCGGCAGGCCTAACAGGCCTGTAAGGCACAGCTGGTAGAGAGAGAATGAGTGTGTGTGTGTGTCCTACACTCCCGATGCTGGGTAAGGAGCAGTGGGTGTGGTCTGACTGTGGGAGAGTGAGGTAGGAACGAGGGCAGAACACAGTAAGCTACTTCCAACACATCCCTCCAGAAAAGCTGAAAGGAGTTAGTGTGATACTCTGTGGTAACATCCAGAGGGCACTGGGCATGGGTCTGGTTCAGAACCAATCGGCTGGGCACTCCAGGGCTCAGGAATGCTTTTTCACCAGACTTTGGCCTGGGTGCTTGTTACTGCAGTCATGGAAGGCGAGTTACCCAGAATAGATGTCAGGAATGTGGCCTTCAGAGAAGGACCCCCAGGCCTAACCCCTCCGCCACTAGCGCCAGCACCTCCAAGTCGGTCAGCCACCCAGCTGGCTGCCTGGTCTCCGGGAACATAGCATCGGCCAAACGCCCTTGGCTCTCCCAGCTGCAAGGTCAGCCCTTCAAGCTGCTCCCAGAAACACTGGTTGTTTGGGGGAAGGCCTTCGGCTGCAAGCTCAGCGCCCAGTCCTGCCTGAGACGGCTGCCAGAACCTGTGTATGCTGCCTGAGGCCTTAAAGAAAAGAGAGACGGTGGCATCAAGATGCAGGAGGGCCAGATGCCTGGCCAGTGAGGCCTGGAAGGAGCAAGACCTCTACGGAGGCTGGGAGGGGCCGCCAGAGGTCAGGCTTGTAGTTGCAACAGTCAGGTGTCTGTCCCAGAGGGAGGTTCCTCCCTGGCTTGGAGGGGCCTGGACAGAGGCAGGTTGGTTGGAGTTTAAGGCATCTGGCGCTGAAGAAGAGGGCGCTTCTGGCGGCACACTGGGCCAGCCCTGAATGCCAGACGGCTCCCCTGGCCTTCGCAGGGTGGAGCCTTCCCCACCAGGCACAGGCCCAAGCTGTTTAGTCCCTGGCTGCTAGTTCAGCTGGTCGTACCCTGGTTTCTTTCCATACAAACAGAAGTGCTGGATAAAGAAGACGATGTCGAAGAAGATGGAGAAGATGCCGAGTCCAAACTTGGTTGGGTCTCCGAAGATCAACGTCCACTGGTCTGTTAACGGCCAGAGGGGACAGAATCTGGTTTTAGGCTGGCAGCTCCTGAGCATATGGGGCTGTGGGGATACGGGGGAGTAGTCCTCATCTGCCCAGAAAACCACAAATCCTCCAGCTGCAGAGGCCCCTAGCCAGTTTTTCTTGGGGCGGGGTGTGGGGGGTGCTGGCTTGGATTCCCAGCCTGCAGGGCTGAGGGGCAGGGGCATCCTGGTGGGTGAGCAGCACGCTGGCGACTCACCGTTGTTGTAGGACAGAAGGAACATCTGGAGGAGGCTGAAGCTGCCCCCTGTGAAGTCCAGGAGCACGTTGCCAATGCTCCAGCCCTCGGTGCTTTTGTAGTGAAAGTTCATGTACGCCTGCGCCAGACAGACAGGGAGACAGCAAGCAGTGAGGAGGCAAGACGGCTGCCTACGCGCCTTGTGACACTGCCACTGCGAACAAGAGTGGCTCTGATTCCTCCCACTCCTGTGCTTGGGCCTTGGCTCCAAGGAACACAGTGACCTTGGGTTCTGACCAGCCTCAGCCAAGGGAACAGTCTGGGTGGTCCTGGGGTCTCATCTGCATGCCAAGCCCCCTCCTCTGTTGCCTGTGCCTCATAACCACCCTGGAGAGAGGGCAGATGCTTCCTCCCACCTTCTCTGAGGACAAGGACAAGGCTTCCCAATGGACAAGGCTTATCTTGGTTTCCCAGCAACTTGGATTCTTCTCACTCCCAATGAAGATCCTCCCCAGATTCAGCCCAACTTCACACGCTTAATGTGGACTTAGAGTCAGGCTTCCGGGCCTGGAAACCCGGCTCTACCATTGGAGCTGTTACCCTGGGCAAGTTATAGAATTCGCCTAGACTCAGTTTCCCCATCTGTGGAGTGGGGTTAACTCCTGCCTCCACCATGGGTGGGCTGGAGTTGCTCAGCTTGGACTTCCTTGGTCTGGTGAGTGGGTCCTGCTTGGAGGTCCTCCCCCATCCTGCTGCCGGTGTCACACAGCCTTCTTCCAAAACCACAGGGGCTCTGGCTATCTCTGATGGGCGAGCACCCTTCTTACCACTGGGAGGGAGGGTCTTGGCCTCTTGGTGGTCTTCTCCCAGCCAGCCATCAGTCAGGCCTGTCTTGTCCCCTCCCGCCCTCTTCCAAGCTTGCTGCCACTTCTCTAATCCTGGCAATTCTGATCATCTCCAACTGGGGCTCCTGCCTCCCAGCTCTCCCAGCCCCAAGCCTTCCCACACTCAGAGACTGAGGCCCAACCTCCCTCCAGACCCTCCGTTACTTAGAAGCCTCCCAAGTCCCCTTGGACCTTCCTGCCTTCAACATTCTTGCCATTGCTTGGCAGTCAGGCTGGGCACTCTGCAGTGCTTCTGTGCAGGCTGCCCTGGCCTGGAGCCCCCCTCTCCTCCCTGGCCTACAGAACAAAGTACTCTCCCCCTTACGGGTCTAGCCCTGTTTCTTAGCCAAGACACCCTCCTTCCAGAGTTCCCAATGCTGCAGAAGCTGAAAAGGGGGCGAGGCCTTTTCATGACTAGAATTCTGCAGTCGGCAGCTCCTGCACACTTGACCTGGGAGACTGTCTGGACCTCTCTGGCTGTGGGGCGGGATGTGTTTGACGCCAGGCCCCCAGATCTCTACGTCCACTGAGGCTCTCCATGCTGTCTCCCTGCCTTGACAGAAGCTGCCCCCTGGGAGCAGGGCCCAGGCTCAGTACCTCTCACCTCTAGCCCACTGGCCACGTGAAAAGGCAGGAAGGCCCGGGAAGTACCTGTGGAAAATACTTGACCAGCGTGACTGCGAGCTTGATGTAGGAGAAGCAGAAGAGAAATTGCAGCCATGTGGTTGCCCCGACCGCTGCCACAATCATGGTGACGAAGACGAAGAGCCATGAGAGCACCAGGAAGCCGACAGCAGGCCAGGACAGACGCTGGCCGCCTCGCTGTGGGTGACACGGGGAAGGCAGGAGATGCACTTGGGGTCCACAGACTGCTACAAGGGCTCAGGAATGGGTGGTCGTGGACGGGGCAGGTTTAGAAAGGTGGCAGTGGGCTCACGGGGAGAATGTGGCGCAGCTCATGAGGAGGCCTGCTGGGGCTTATACCAGGCTTTTTATTTTTTTTTTCATTGTCAGAGGGTACATGTGCTTACCAGAGAGACACAGAGAAATAAAGAGAGAAAGCACCTCCACGGGGTGTGGTCACAAAACAATCCTTTCTCCTCCATTTCTCCACCCTGTTGAGATTTTGGGCATGCACGCCCACCCCACATGTTTTTCAAGCCTCCAGAGCCCGACTGCAGTTGGCCATGTAGAATCTGGCTCCGTTAACCGCTAGGCTATGGAGACAGCCCAACCACATAATTCTGCTCTCAGGGTTTCCTGTTCAGACCGCCTTGGGCTCCTGGGTCCGTTTTGTTCCCACTCTTCAGAGCTAGGAGCCTCTTGCAGCTCATTCAGAGGGAGTGAAGGGTGCTAGGGACACGAATCCTGACACTCTGGAGGCCCAGCACCTTGTCCCGTCCGGCATTGACATGTTCCATGCCCCAGCTGAAGGCTGATGAGCTCAGGTTGCCCCCCCGTCACTTCCTTCCCCCCAGCATGGCTCCCAAGTGGGCCTCCTTCCCTGAGCTTCACTGTGAAGGCCAAGAAAACCTAGAAGGTTTATAAGGGTAGAGCCAAGCAGCCGGATGGGCCTGTAGGGTGTGAAGGGAACTCCGAGGGAGGCGGCACAACCACAGGGGAGTGAGACCAAGGCTGCACGTCAGGGGTCTCCTGGCACAGCCGTAAAGGGTACCTTCCCTGCTGGGACACCCACGGCTCCCCCGCAACGATGCTGAGACCCGGGTCC